TTTGTTCAAACCATGACTAGCTAGTTTGAAATGAGCATGGTTGGGGAGCTTAACTACTTTTTGGGACTTCAAATCAAACAGATGGATGAAGGAATTTTTGTTTCACAGAGCACATACTCCAGAAATCTGATCGCCAGATTCGAGATGCATATGTCTAAGGAATCTAGGACTCCAATGAGTACAACATTCAAACTGTCCAAAGATGAGCAGGGAGTGAAAGTAGATGAAAAGTTCTACCGAGCTATGATAAGGAGTTTGCTTTACCTTACTGCAAGTCGACCTGATATCTGTTACAGTGTGGGTGTATGCGCACGGTATCAAGCTAGTCCACGGGTGTCACACCTAAATGCACTTAAGAGGATAATCAAATACGTGAAAGGAAAAGCTAATCTTGGATTATATTACACAAAAGATACTAATCTAAGCTTGTCTGGTTTTTGTGATGCAGATTAGGATGGTAGTTTGGATGACTGAAGGAGCACTTCTGGTGGATGTTTCTTCTTGGGCAACAATATGGTCTCATGGCACAGCAAGAAACCAAATTGTGTATCTCTATCAACTGCTGAAGCAGAGTACATCGCTCTTGGAAGTTGTTGCACTCAACTGTTGTGGATGAAACACATGCTAGCTGACTATGGTATGACCTCGAACCCACTAATGGTATATTGTGATAATCAAAGTGCAATTAATATTTCGAAAAATCCTGTGATGCATTCGAAAACCAAACATATTGCAATAAGATATCATTTTGTTAGGGATTTGGTTGAGGCAAAAATTGTGGCTTTAGAGTTTGTTTCATCAGCACGTCAGTTAGCAGATATTTTCACCAAAACTCTTGATCTAAACACGTTTTTAAACTTAAGAAAGGCGATTGGAGTCTGTGAAGCTTGAGCAGCTCGGGCTATGAGGGTTGAACATGTTCTAAGTATGTATGTACAGAGAGACTATTAAGGAGTTTTCGCGCATTTTTCATAAAAACCTCATGTTGGCAAGTCAGACGTAAAGAGGGCTACTCATCATGCACTGGTAAGTCAAGATTACTTTGGGAGTTTAAACTGAGAGATCGTTTCAGTATGCTCTTGGATATGGATGACACAACATTGATAGCTAAGCTTGGTCAGTATTGAACTGTTTAAGAATGAAGGATACTCAGCTTGGACCTGGACGCAACAACGTTTATGTCTAGGCTGATCACTATCTGGACTTAGAAGGTAAAAGCAGAGTTACAAGTAAAAGAAAGGTTCTCTAAAGGTGGTGGAAAAGAAAAAAAAAGATAAGAAGGAGATTATTAATAATAAAAAAAAAAAACAGAGAAAGAATGAGAGTTGAAAAGAAAAAGGAGTAAGATAAGAAGAAGTATTGAATATGATGATGACACTAAAAGAGAACCTCCCGGCTGGATAAACAATCTCGTTGGATTTGGGTACAAAAATACTTGAACACTGACTGAGATCAATGTTTTGATTGGGTTTTAATTGGAAAGTATGTCTTTTATCTGGTCTTGGTTAGAAGTAATGTACTTCGTGTGTATGATGATGTGAAGACTAGTGCATTTTGATCGAAGTGATGAAAGCTGTCGCAGATAACCATTGCAGAGAGCCAATGGGTTGATGTTTGATTTTGGTAGTCACTAACAATATACCTCTTGATGGTTCTCTGTTACATGATACTGGAAAATGTTGAATCCTCCTCTAGCCAAGCTTGCATAAGTATGTAAATAAGTTGTTTTTTTTTAAGTGTTGACTGCTGATGATACTAACTCTCTCTCGCCCAAGTACTAAATAGCATGCATGTAGAGATTACTTATGTTTCTTTATCTAAGGCATAATGGGCTTTGTTTGTGTTTTTTCTTCATTTGATTTATTAACACTAATGGGCTTTTATATGAGATGTGTGTGATATATAAGTGAACTTAAGGAAGTTCTAGGTCAACAAGAACACGCCGAAAATAACCTTCTCACTCCCAAGGGCGACTCATGAGTGAAGAAGCAAGACCAAGAACACGCGGACAAATCATGTCTTCGTTGATCCGCAAAATTGCCAGAAATCCGACCATTCCAACACCCGAGAAGCTCAAACAATCAAAAGAAGTCAGATCTGAAGGCTCATCCTGCCACTCGGGTCGACGAACTAAATGTCGGCGAAAGAAAAAGACAACCTCAATCGATGATATCTTCCCAGATCCGTCTTCAGAGATAACAGATGAAGTAGCTGAGGATAGCCATGATGATGAAGAACCACTGGAGGTTGACATACAAGATCAAAGAGAGGATGAAGAGGAGGATGACGAACCGGAATTGATGGAAACCGATGTAGGAGAAGGGTTTGTCTATGAAGACTTAGAACCACGGGTTCAACATTTGAGATCTCAGCATCAACTTCGTCTCTCTGCCATACCTAGCCTTACAAATCCGAAACGCTCGCCTTACAATGGATCATTCTATCGAGTTGCAGGGAGTAAGAGGTATGAATGTCTACTATCTCAAACCATCCTAGGTGAAAAGTTTCCGTCGTTAGGTAATGAGAAACTTGATGAAGCTAGAAACATTATTGAGAAGGCTGGGTTAATGTATTCGGTCCTAGATTTTCCTTGGTTTACTCAAGAAGTGGTTCTGGAGTTCTATGCTAATCTCGGAAACATGATCAAGCGTGATGGTACCACTTGGGTGTATGTGAGAAATCACATGTATGAGTTCTCTCCCACCATTATCAATAGCCTCTTCAAGACACCTAGTAAACCAGTTGATTTTCCACGCAAGCCATGGGTTACTGAGAACCTTGACTAAGCGGTGGAAACCATGACCGGAGGAAAGAAGAAGAAATGGGGAAATCTCAGCATGCTTGATATAACACCGATGATGAATGTTCTGTTCAAGTTCTGTGTCTACAATTGGATCCCTACAGCAAATCGATCAACAATGACCATAGATCGAATCAAGTTCATTCATATGATTACCGAGGGAAGGCCATTTGATTTTGGAGTTATGGTATTTGATCAGATTTTTGAGTTGGGACAGCAAGCTGCATCAGGCAAGACGAAGAAGTTACTTTTCCCGGGTCTTATTCAGCATTTGCTTCAATCTCAGCATCCGATCCCAGTTGATCCTGAAGACTCCGAACTCACTAAACTTACCAAGATGATACTTGATGGAAAACAGGGTGTTCCGAAGAAACCGCCTGGAATGGTTCCTCGACGCTCTTTGACTAAGGACCTTGGTCATGTCTATCGTCTCATTGACAACGTCATCAGAAGATCTGCAAGTAAGTTACTTATGACTTTGGATCTATATTCTTGTTTTCATAACTCTGTTTTTAAGTGTCTATGCCACCAAGCAGGGGGAGAATATGGGGATTTGTCTAATCTAGGTGATAGCAGCAGTAATGAAGATGAAGATGAAGATGAATGCAATGATGAAGGCAATGACGACAATCATAGTGAGGAGTTTTAAGTGATAGGGGAGTCCTAAGATCTAGGGGGAGATTGTTTTTCTTTAGTCCAGCTCTAAGTGATAGGGGGAGTTTGTTTTTTTTTTAGTTGTTCTAAGTTCAGGAGAAGTGACGGTTAAGATGCGGTTAAGTTGTTTTTGTTAAGATATCTATGTATGGTTGTGAGTTTAGAGATGCTGGTGTTGTATTTCTAAAACGATCACTTGGTTGAATGTTATGGTTTATGTTTACTAACATTAGTATGTATAGATGTTGTTGTTCAGTGATTTATGTCACATGTATTTGAATTTAATCGACAAGTGCTTGGTGATGATAGACACTCAAAAAGAGGGAGATTGTTGAGACATGAAAAACCAGTGAAGTGTTCATCAATTACAAGATTGCTCAAGTTCGAGTTTAGGCGGGACTAATTCAAACGCATGTGGTGACGTGGCAAGTGAAGAATTTTCCCATGATAGGATATACATAAATCTGAGAGATTCTAGGAAGTAGAATAATAGATTTATTGTTATCTGTAAGTTAAAAGATCAGATCGTCTAGGACTATAATAGACGAGGCTAGTGTTTTAGGTTAGGTACGGTTTTTAGAGTTTTAACAACGAGAGCAGAAAGTGTTTTGAGTCTCGTGTGTTTTGAAGTTGTTCAGTGTTGATTCACAAGTTGTGAAGTCAAGTAAACCTGATTAAACAAGTTAGTGTGTAATTTGTTTAAAGAACTTCAATAAAAATATTCAGTTTGGTATTCTTGAGGTTATATCTGTGCTCTAGGTTTTTCAACGTAGTTTCTTTTTATTTGGATTTGTATCTGCTAATTATTTTTTTTTTTTTTGCGTAAAAAACAATTAATGTAAAGAATGGCGAGTTTTACTTTCATGTGGTGGTGTTTTGATTAAGATGGAGATTGGTTTGTAAAGAAAAGAGAGTTTTGTTTTCATATTTTCATGCGCTAATTATCTGAATCTTTTCTTAATCTGATATATTTTGGGATTGTGAACTTGTTAAAGTTTGATTTTACGTTTTTATCTTCTTTTGTGTTGTGTGAAGTTAGGAAAGATGATAAGAATACAGAAAATGCCAAATATTGGGAAAGAAAAAAATGGAGACACAAGCAAAAAAAAAAGATCCATTTTTTTTTTTTTTTTTTTTGGTCAAAAGCTTATTTGGGTAGAGGTTAATGATTTATTGCCAAAGAAAAGAAGATTGCGTCTGTCAAACGTATGATGATATCTTTATAATTGGGGCCATAAACATGTCAAATCCTGGAGTAGTTAAGTCTCCCTCTTCATTTCCTTTTTCTTGTCATCATGATATGGAACAATATAACATTTTGGGTATGTTTTTAAAGTGTGAACAGTTGCAACCACATAATTCTTGGACTCAACAACTGTTATATCAGTTGCTAATCTTTCAGCCAATACCTTGTCATTTTTCTATCCCTCGAGAGAGATAGCATCCTCACCTTACTGAGACGATTGTTGTAGGTTTCCCATCACAACAATAATGACAAATTTTGTAAAGCGTTTTTGAGATGTGTTCTGTAGAGTGAAGACTGTGTGGCACATATAGGTAAAAATATGTAGCAGACTTGAGGGTTTACATTATACAAATATTAACATCTTCAAATGTTTTCCACTCAAATTTACATCTTCTTTTATTCATATAGCAAAACCAAAAAAAAAACATCAATGAGGAAAAGATGATGTTCTAGAGAATCAAATCACTTTACATCTCCATACACTTTCACTCACAGATAGATAAACAAGTCCCTAGCTAACATCATCCAAGATCTTCCTTGTGCTCTTTGTTTTGACTCCTAAAAACTTGTTATGTGCGTTCTCGTGGACGAGCTGCCCAAAGAGAACTCAGGGCACGAAGCCTGTGGAAGTACTCTCCTAATGCGAGCAACCCTCTAGCAGCCTGTCTTGTCGTCAAGATCTTACTCATTTGCTGCAGTGTCTGCTTTCTCAAATGATCCGCCTGTTCCAATAGAGACGTTCCAGTTCAGAAAATAGATAGTTCAAGCTCCTATGAAGAAAAATGAGTGTGTTACCTGATTCACAAAACCCTCCAATGCTTGAAGATTCTCCATGGCTGAAGCCATTTGAGCTCCGTGACTCACAGACTCAACAACTCTTATGTCAACAGCTATGTTTTCCACCAAACCCTGCTGAAGTTTATCTAAGCCTTGAGAAAGAGCTTCCTCTGCTTGCTGAGACGACTGTTGTAGGTTTCTCACCTCCAGGAGCTGCTGATCTGTCAACGGCTCAATGTATGGCATCACAACCTGAAACAAACAATAGTTGAACAATGAGATTGTGCCCTGACTAGTGAAAAACTGTAAAAAGGTAAACAACGGTTTTACTTACATTTAACAGCTCGGAAGGGCGGAAACCTCCAATCCACTGGAAGAAACGTTCAGTGGAAGTTCTCCACATTCCAGATATCAAGAAGAAGACATCAGCCTTTGCAGCATCAGCTTTCATGCGGAAGAGATTAGCGTAGTGGTTTAAGCAAATGTCAACAAGCATTTTGAGCTCAATGTCGCTGATATGTGCTTGGAGAGCTGTTCTAATCTCACTCACTCTCTTGTTTTGTTCTTCTAGCCAGTGTGTGTATTCCATCTCAAATGCAGCAATTCCTTTAACATTGTTTCATACCAGTCATGAAGAATATGAGATTAAGACATTAAGCAATACTAACATATTCTCTCTATCTCTCTCTTTCATTTTAAGTGTTGTTTACATTTGTGAACACAAGTTAATTTAATTTTTAATTTTGTATATTTTTAAATTAAAAGTTAATGATTTTCTTGTATTGAAACTCTGAAACTGACATTTATTTGTGACAAAAAAAATTTACTCTAAAACAACATTTATTTTGTAATGGAAGTTATATTACTCTACAACGCCACTTAATATGAAAGCTTTAGTGATTGATATAAACATTAACCTGTGTTCATGGTCCCAGCTGGTCCAAGGTAGCTAGTATCTGATGAAGTGCGTACGCATAGTCCCTGTAACAAAGAAAAAAAGCCACCTGAGTCGTCGATATGAAACACTGAACCTTAAAAAAGGAAGCTTGAGCTCACCTGCTGCCTAGCTCTTGCAAGTTCCTGCTCGAGCTGTGATAACTTTAACCTGCTTTCTTCTAACTGCTGGACATGTGCCTAAAGGCGACACACATAACTTTGTATAAGCCTTTCTCTTCATTATCACAAAGAAATACATACCCACCCAAAGGACATGTTCTTACCTTCTTTCTCAAACGACTTTTGCGAGCAGCTTCTCGGTTCTGAGCCAATCTCCGTTTCATCTGTGGATACAGAATGAACAACAACAACAACAACAATTCATGTCATCATCAGTGCCAGCAGACTTCTCTGGAAGTCTTCTATTTGCAGTCAAATTTAGATATTCCTTTAAAGTGGAGAGTAGGGAGTTTATAAAGTTTTCAAAACAAATACTAAAACTCGTGATTTGTGTACCTTATCATTCATTTGATCTTCGTCCTGATCATTATTACTAGAAGGTTCTGCTTCAACAGAGTTATTATACAAAGATGTATAATTCGCCTGCGTGTAATTCTAACCACTTGTTTAACAAACAAGTAAACATGAATCTGGGAAGGAAAAAAAAAAGGAAGGTAGGTAAAATCTGAACCTTATTGTTATCATCTGCTTCTGCTCTAGCAGTATCCACCTCAAGAATGGTAGAAGAACTCGGATTATTGTTGTTATTCTGATTACTAGTAATATTGTTGAAAGTATTTTCCCAACCAGACAACTGTTGGAACGGTTCATACATCCCCATCTCCCTGAACGATACAACTTGTGTAGTAGAAGAAGAAGAAGAACTCATCATCTGTCAAAAAAAAAAAAAATCAATAATTACAAACTCAACCTTAAGAGAAATTCTTCTCACAAAGGCACAAAACAGTGTTTCTAAGATCCTTACTAACACAACCATAAACAGTACAAGTTTTTAGTTTTTTATCTGTTAAAAGGTTGAAACTTTTATAACAACATTAATAAAAGACCAAACTCATAAAGATTGAGACTTTGATCAAAGATAGCCAAATTGAGCAATACCCATGAGGTCAAAAAGTTGCAAAATTGACCCAAAAAAACATAACCAACCTCCATTGACAATTCATCACGAAGACAGACGGAGATATGATGAAGAGTGAATCAATAACCAGTTGAAACGTATTCTGGGTGATTGGGTATATTCCGTTTTAGGAGAGAAAGGACGAAGCTTTTTTGGTCAAAAACTTAGAGGTGAAGCGTACACATCATTGTAAGGAGGAAGAAGCAATAGAAAAAAGCAAAGATATTTTTTATTTTCTTCTTCTTTTTTTTTTTTTTTTTTAAAATCTTTTTGGTTTTTGATTAGTCCTATGAGTGTAGAATAAATGAGCAAGTTGGAAGTAAACGAGCGATGAACGACAAAAGCAAGCAAGCAAGCAAGCAAGCAAGCAAGCGAGCACCGTGCTTGAGAAAAACAAATCGAGTGTCGGAAGAAAAGTCGAACTCTCTTTTCCTTTTAACATGCGCTTCTTTTTCTAAACTACGCGTGAGATGACTTATGCGCTGGATTCTAATTAATAGTCGACCCACACGTCACTGCTCCAAAGAATATTCCACGCTTTTGTCCAAAATTATTCGTCTTTTAAAATATTTATAACATATAGTATCTGAATCCCATACACATTATTTTCATTTCCTTGTAGTATTTGAAGAGAAAACAAAACTGTTCAATAATGACATGTAATTACAGTCAATTTTTTTGCTAATTGTCAGAATGTCTTTTAGTCAAATTTTTATTATTATTTTAATTACAAAGTTTAATTAACTTTTTCTTATAAATTAGGTTGCGTTTTATAGAACACAACACAAAAGTGTGCAAGATTAATGCTTTGATAATTTTAATTATTTATTCGCTTTATTTAGGAAGGGTCTCCATAGTTAGTGCAGTGGCATCTTTTAAGTACCACTCCTTGGCTTAGTGAGAAATAATTGGACCTTTAATGACCTACCTAACTCCAAAAGATAAACATTCTTTTATTTTTAAAATTCTTTGATTTTTAGCCTAATCATAGATTCATTCTTTAATTAGTTTGGCATCACTTGTCTGATAAACTCTTCTGTGTTTCTACAGAGACAAGCAGGCCTATTTTCTTTCCCCAATATACTTTTGGTTTTGCTTTAGTACGGTTTCATATATATTTTTTCAATCAATCATTATTCATATTGGTCGATGACATGCAAATAGGAAATACACAGCGAAACTAAGTGAACATGTTTCGTCTAGGGTTTTTGACGTGACGAACAATCCATTTATCTTTCAGATTCTGAATTAAATTAATCCATGTTTCACAATTTCGACTAGTGCTAACTTCAAAAGAGAAACGAAATAGATGTTCTTCTAGATAACCCAACCAAATATGGAGCGGAGCTGTTCATTTGCAAAGCAAAGGCCGGAGTAAAGTTGGGCTTAGTTCCTAAAGCCCATAAGATTTTGCAATATTTTCGTGAATATATGATGAGGAAGCGTTATCGAGCCCTGAGTGAAGCATTTAAATATAAGAAACTGGGATAGTTTTGAGGATGATCGTCTATAGATTTTAGATTGGTTTTTGTTTTTTTTTTTCTTTTTTTTTTGACTCAACTACAACTTTCATTGACCAAATGGGAGTACATGATTTTGGCCTCACAGAGATTAAACCACACTTACAATGAAGTGATCTAATATCACCTAGGAACACATAGATGGATTTTACGCTACCCGAATCAAAATTCCATTGTATATTCAACCAACGAAAGAAAATTCACTCCATACAGAATAAACTGCCTCTTAAACCACCTAAATTGACCAAATTGAGACGATAATCCTAAAAACTCGAGAATAACAAGGCTAAAACCAGATTGGTTTTTGGTTTTTGATTTTCCAAAAACTGTTTTTTACCCCCATGATTTTACTAAAGTAGATTTCCTACTTTTTAGAGAAACTAGTTTTTGATTCATTTTACTTTTTTTTACATAAAAGTCAAAATCCACTTTTTCTTGGTTTCTTCTCCTAATTTTCTACGTGCAAATGCAAAAAAATATTTTTTTTTAATTATTAATAAATTAGATAAATAATGTAGTATATAAGAATTACACTAATCGTTGACAAAAGAAATATAATTACATTAATCACTCTATGGGGTGATTGGTTGGGTTGTAAGTGCTAACTTTAGCTTTAATTTTTACCTACATCAATTAAATTACCAATCATGCTTTATCTTATTTTGTAAAGCTACAGCTAAAAACTAAAAAAAAATGGTTGTAAAATCCTTATGTTCTAAAGCCACATTTTTTTGCTGTAGAAAATATGTTAATAAATTTTAAAGTTACATCTTTTACAGCTAAATTAAAAAATTTTATAAACTAATTTCTACAGTAAAAATTTTACAGCTACAGTTTAACCAATCATCCCCAATATTATGTCGTAAAACAACTTTTTTTTGTAAAACAACTTTTACTTTTAAAGTTACATCTTTTACAGCTAAATCAAAAAATTCTATAGACTACTTTCTACAGTAAAAATTTTACAGCAACAGTTCAACCAATCATCCCCAATATTATGTCGTAAAACAACTTTTACTTTTCTAAGCAATTAGTTTTATATCTTCACTACTTATTAAAGCCATTAATTTATTAAGGTAAGTCAGTTTATTAATGTTTTAGTCAAGGTTTTGTACCAAAAACTTTATAGAAAATTAATTAAAGTTATTGATTAAAAGTATAACAATTTTGTTACACTTTAATTAGTTTTGTATCTACAAAAAAAATCTAATAAGTTTCAGAGAAAAAGACTTCTATTAATTTTTCTAGAAAATATTGTAATAAAGTTTCTAATTTTACCATTTAAAAAAATAGAATTAATTTTTATTCTATGACCAAAAAGATATGGTGGCGACATGATCGATATTTCGAAGAAAGCGGAAGCATTGTGACTAAGAAAAGTACTGAGACGATCATTAATAAGACTAATAAGACTGTTCTGTTCCAAGTAATATTTTTATCTCTATTATCTCTATTATTATTTTACAGATGGAAAGGTAAAACATGAAAAACAACAAAATAATAATTTCGTGGAAGTGGAGAAGACGGTATGGAGAATAAATGGTAAGTGAACTTCTCTATTAAAATGATTTACGTGAGTTAACTCATGAGGTATTTTTTGGTTGATTAAGTAAGTCATTAATATAACTGAAAAAAACAAGCATTTAAATAGGAAGTTTAACTAAACTCTCAGTGGCATAGGAGTGTAAATAAGTTAGAAAACTTAGGGATATTTTTTAGTGGGTACTTCTCTTTTAATAATAAAGATTATTTAATATTTGAGTTATTCTTGGGTTCACCCCCTAGGGTGAACCTCTAGGTTCACCATCCAATAGGATTTCACTATTTCATATTTGATATCTTTCAAAAAAGGAAACAAAATCTTGTTAAGTTATATTATGTTCTTAAAAATAAAAATACAAAAATAAATAAAAAATAATAATAATTAATAAAAACGAAAATGATTTTTTTTTAAAGAAAATATTTTAACACTAGACCCTAAACTCTAATCCTAAAACCTAAACCCCTACGTAAATCATAAACCTTTAGATAACTTTTATAACAAAAAGTTCTTTAAAAAAATATTTTAACACTAAACCCTAAAATCTAATCCTAAACCCTAAACTTTTGGGTAAATCATAAACACTAAACCTTAAACTCTAATCCTAAACCCTAAACCCTTGGGTAAATCATAAACACTAAACCCTAAACTCTAATCCTAAACCCTAAACCCTTGGGTAAATCATAAATATTAAATTTTTAAAACACTATAAGATTTATCTAAAGGTTTATGATTTAACAATGGATTTAGGGTTTGTGATTATAGTTTAGGGTTTAATGCTAAAATATTTTCTTTAAAAATAATTATTTTCGTTTTTATTTATTTTTTATTTATTTATTTATTTTATATTTTTATTTTAAAAAACATAATATAACTTAATAAGATTTTCTTTCCTTTTTAAAAAGATATCAAATATGAAATAATGTAATCCTATTGGATGGTGAACCTATAGGTTCACCCTAGGGGGTGAACCCAAAAATAAGTCTTAATATTTTGAACATATGAACAATAATTTATTTCAATAGTATTTATGTGCGGGTAGAACACATAATTATAAAGTATTTAGAGATTATGAAGGCAAGACAAACTTAATAAACTAAACATCAATTAAATAATCAATTTTAAACTATAAATCTTTATGTTTTTAATTAAAAACAATAGTTTCTTTAAATTAAAAAGCATTATTGTATCACCTTTTATAATTTATGTCTTATCCCACAATCATTTTATAATGCTAGTCTATGGATTAGTAAATATAAAACAATGTTTTTAATGGTATAGGTTAAGACATTTAAATTATTTTCTCAACCAGAAAGAGAATTCAATATTTCAAATGAAAGTATTAAAAATATAAATTTTAAAGAATCAAATTTTACTTCCTAATATTTTGGGTTCATCACCAGCTTCAAAGATCACAAGCTACAGTATAATGAACTACTTAATTCAAAACTATAAATCTAATGTGTTTGAAAATGTATTAAGTTCATATGTATAATAAAACTATATATTTTCAATCTGAAAATTACAATACTTATTTTCTCCATATTATAATTTATATTATCAAAATATCTTATAGTTTTAATTTTATAAATATAGTTTCAAACAACAAAAACAGTGATAACTTTTACATTATCAACTATGATTCAAAACTCATGTATATAATATAATTTTTTCAAAAACAATAAAATTGTACATTAAAGTTTATAAAAAAATATAATGAAAACATAAAATGTCAAAATAAATATAAATAATCCTGCACACAGTGTGTGTTAAAATTTAGTTTATAATAAAATTAAAAAGATATGCAAACGTAAAAGATATGTAAAAGATTTAAAGATCTATTATTAGTTGGTTAGATGTTAAGTTAACTAATTCAAAATTTTTATAATATCAGCCTTAGTGATTATCTACAAAACAATAATAGACATAAATTGTAAATAATACGATAGACAAAGATTAGTTCTAATGTTCCTTTTTAATATGATAGATAAAGTTTGTTTGAGAGTGTGAAAACTAAACATCAAAAAAATCCTCTAAAAATGGAAGGATTTGCTGTTAAGGTTTCTTCAGATGCTTCACCACCGTTAAGTATATCTTTCTATAATAATATATAAATTGTACAATAATACAATATATGTAATGGAAACGTATGCATATCTATACTATTGAAGCAAAATACTTGTTAGGATTCTGTTGTTATTTTTTCAAATTATTTACAT